CCATCCCTCAGTGACAGGGGCCAGCAGATACAGTGCACAGGATGTGGTTGAAAGGAGGAAGCCAGGCACAAACTGCTTAAAATAGTACATTTTAAAATGTACAGGCACCTATGAGGGATGAATAACAGCCATGTATTTGCCACTGAAATGAAAACGTTAGGTTTTTGCCACGTGTACTTCAAGATATTTTTTAAAAAATGAAGCAGAGAGCTGGGAAGTGGCCCAAGGGCAGCTGTGCTTTGCTGAATGAGGCCTGGTTCAATCTCCTGGGTGCAGAAGAAAAAAACAGTAGAAGACCCTGTTCCCTCCTCCCCAGGCATTTCCTCCCTCCCACCCCAGGGCAGATACAGCAACAAAATAGGTGTTTTGACACTTCTCTGAATTTACTTTCAATGTGAGAATGGGCATGCCAAAATATACACTTCTCCCTGCCCCCTGCCTTTTGTGTTACTGGGGATTGACACCAGGGATTCCACCACTGAGCTGCATACTCAGCCCTTTTTATTTTGGGACAATTTCAGTAAGTTGCTGAGGCTGGCTTTGAACTTGTGATTCTCCTGCCTCAGCCTTCCAAGTGGCTGGGATGACAGGCATGTGCCACCACACCCAGCTTGGCCCCTGGCACCCACATGCTACTTGCTGTCTCTGGATCTTATGACTACAGATTTCCTGTGAGTCCTGCAGTGTGTAGTCTTTTGTGTCTGGCTCTCACTAAGCACAAGGTCCTCAGTGTCCATCCACATTGTAGCAAGTGTCCTTTTCATGGCTAAATAATATTCAGACACACTGTGTATATCCATTCATTGGTTGATGGACGTTTAGGTTGTTTCCACCAGAAGAAAAAAAGAGTAGAAGAGCCTGTTCCCTCCACCCCAGGCATTTCCAGGCATTGTGAAGAGTGTTGCCCTGAGCATTTCCAGCCATCAACTATAGCTAACACCTGTCTGACCTCTTTATTACATATGATAGCATTATATATAGTGTTAAATGCTATCATACTATTATATATGATTATAACTATACATAATGCCACTACATACACAGAAAGGCAAAGCAACGTGAATGTTGCCTGATAAAACAGCTATCTGGGTGTGGGACAGGGACCCTGGGGACTTTGTTCTTCACTGTACGGTGGCAACCCCAGCTGTGGTGTTGGCTCATTGTTAATCATCCAGCCCAGTAGATGATGAACTCCCGGGGAGGTGGTGTGGGCCTGCCCTGCTCATGGCTCATGGCTGGGACCCTGGGTGCAGCTCAGAGCCTGCACAGCAGGGTGCTTGCCCATGGTAGACAGCACTACAGACCTCTACAGAAACAGCAGTGGGGGTGACTGGGGTGGGACCCAGGGCCTTGTGCATCCTAGGCAAGGGCTCCACCCTGAGCCACACCCAGCTCAGATAGCAAATACTACACTGTGAACTTGGAGTAGAAAAGCACCCACAAGATGTGTAGGTGATGGTTGTGGCTGTGTGCCAATAAAATTTTACTTAAAGGGCTGGGGATGTGGCTCAAGCGGTAGCGCGCTCGTCTGGCATGCGTGCGGCCC